TTTCTCTTCATTCTTATATCTCTCATTTTCTTTCCCCGACTTCTACCTTTGTATAAATGTATATGTGCATGTGCATGTGCATGTGTATGTGCACGTATGTGTACGTGTACATGTATGTACGTATTTAAATAGGTAAGTTGGTAAAAACAAAAGGAATGATAGGTGGAAGGAAGGTGGTAATAATAACGGGGACAGGCCGAGGAACCGGCTGAAGAAACACCAGCAGGCATACAGACACACACATATACTCCAACTTATGTACACACACACATTATATAAACACACACGCACACGCACGCACGCACTCGAAGGAGGAAATCAGGCGTAACGGGAGCCGAGACAGAGCCCCGCTTCTATTTTCTCTGCAAACACGTAACCGTTGCCTCATTGGTCGTAAAACCTTATTTAACTGAGTTTTAATGAGTCTGTAATTACGCCCAATTCCATCTCCTCCCTCATTTCACTCTCAACTTACGTCTTCATTTACGTTATTTTCAATTTTCTTCTCTCTAACTAGTATTCGTTTCCTATTTTTTGGTTCATTTTTCCTTTCCCTTATTTTTATCATTCTAGTCCCCTTTATCTCCACATCCTTCTTCCTCTTCCTCTTCCTATTCCACTCCCTCGCCCTCTTCCTCCTCCTCCTCCTCTTCCTCTTCCTCTTTTTTCGCCTTCCTCTTCCCCTTCCTCCTCCTCCTCCTCCTCCATGTCTTCATTCCATCCAGCTCTTATCTTCTACCCTTCAATCCTTCTTGTTTGTCATTTTAGTCTTGTGGAATGAAAAGAAAAGAAAAAATACCTCCCTATTATGCAGAAGAGTAGACGAGACGATATTTAAAGGAAATGCAAATGGGGATATACGAAATTCAATAAAAAGTCAGCCAAGATTCCTGTTTAATTTTAACTATTATTAACTATAGCAGTAAAGGTGCGACAGCCAAAACAAAATATAATAATAACAATAACAACAATAGTAACATCAATACTACTACTACTACTACTAATAATAATAATAATAATAACAAGAACAATCATCATCACCAATAACAAAAACCTGCGCACTCACATGAAGTATCACCAGCAGCGTTACCCTTACTCTGATTTGCTACACAGACATAACGCAGGGTCACAGCGGGAATGGCGCGGTCCACCCATTCCCGCTACACGCCAGGTGCGTTCGAGCGTGCGCGCGCGCAACAGTTCGTGCCCTTCAGCAACGCTACGTATTTGCACCCCCCCCTCCTGCACTACCCGCTACGTAATGTGGTAAACCTCCGCTAACTCGATGCTCCGCCCCGCCCTCTGCCCTAGCCTTTTCCCTTGCGAAACCCCGGCTCAACACTTTAAAATAAAATAAAGAATAGAAAACAAGTTTATATTCAGTCTCCAAAATGTAACGCGTCTTCTATATGCTAAACACGTCCCTTGGCCGGATCACCAAGTACTTTTATCTGATATGTATTCCAGACTTCCAGGAGACCGAGATAAGACAAATGGCCTTTACTCGTTCACATTCATTGTTGTCATTCCAATCCCCCTCTTTAACTCTTTCCTTCCCCTCCATATCTATCTACTACATCTACTACTACCATTATATCTCCTCCTCCTCCCCCTCGTCTCAAGTTCTTATTCCCATCCCTTTCTCTTTCCCCTAACCACTTCCTTCTCTCTCTCCCTCCCTCCCTCCCTCCCTCCCTCCGCTCTCCTGTTCCCCATTCACCCAATTTCCCACACTCGAGAAGGTCCTTCACTGTCCACTCTCCCATCGAGAACGTCATGAGGGCGAGTATTCCCCCTCTCCTCCTCTTCTGTCCCCCCCCCAACCCCCCCCCCCCCTTCCTGCCTGACTTTGTGAATGGGTCACAGCCAAGAGGACCTGCGAGGAGCCTCGGCACCTCAAGCTGGTGAAGGGCCCTCGGCCGGAGTGCGTGCGTAGTTTACCTGAGACACAAACAAGGTGCTGGGAGGGAGGGAGGGAGGAAAGGAGGGAGGCAGAGAGGGAGGCAGAGAGGGAGGCAGAGAGGGAGGCAGAGAGGGAGGCAGAGAGGGAGGCAGAGAGAGAGAGAGAGAGAGAGAGAGAGAGAGAGAGAGAGAGAGAGAGAGAGAGAGAGAGAGAGAGAGAGAGAGAGAGAGAGAGAGAGAGAGAGAGGGGGGGGGGAGGACAGTGAGGGATGGAAGGGGGGAGAGAAGCAGGGAAGGAGGAATAGGAAGACGAGAAGTAGGGAGGGAGAGAGGAGAGAGAGAAAGTTGGAAGAGAAGAGGAGAAAGAGACAAGGGAGATATAAGGAAAAAAAGAAACAAAGAGGGGGTGGAACAAGGAAACATGGAAGAACTACTGAACGAGTGAAACGGCAAAGGGCCACAAGTGGGCACGCGTACTCACCTCATTGGGCTCTGAGATTTCGAAGAGGTCAAGTCTGTTGGCGTTCCACTGCTGGATGATGTGGCGGAGGTTCTCCCGCTCCTGCGCGCGACGCGCCGTGATGGCCTCGTCACCCATCTGCAAAGGGAACAGCCCGGATGTAAAATACACAAAGTAATCATTATATATCGCCATCCCCTTCTTACAATCAACAGTAATTCAGATTCATTAAATGATACCAATATAAAAATTCTGACCATCACACGACGGTCTATAGCACATAAACAGCCAATAACATTTGGCCGACAAAACTGCGAGGGAACGTCCCATTAAGGTCTCGTTGCAAATAACGGCAAATAATGGCCACTTTTCCATTCCCAAGACAGTTATCACTTTCGCAACACTTGAGAGAAATAAGGGAGGGAGGGAGGGAGAGGGAGAGAAGGAAAAGAAGAAACGGAGTAGACAGGGGGAGGGGGGGAGGAAGGAAGGAAAGAAGGAATGGATGGAGAGAGAAAGAGAGAGAGAGAGAGAGAGAGAGAGAGAGAGAGAGAGAGAGAGAGAGAGAGAGAGAGAGAGAGAGAGAGAGAGAGAGAGAGAGAGAGAGAGAGAGAGAGAGAGGGGGGGGGGGGAGATAAAGATAAGCCTGATATGCGAAGCTGAGCAAGAGAGAAAAGAACCAATCGTATTTTATCAGTCTTGCATTTTCCCATCTTGCAGACCGAAAACGACCTTTGCTGCGCTCGTCCAACTTGCAAGAAACGACAACAAAAGCCAAGAGATTCCTTTTTCCACCGCGCTGATCACGCCGGTGAAAGTGAACGGAGATGGGAAGAAGGAAAATATGGAAGCCAAAGAGATAAAATAAATACATTAGCGAGATTTTGCCCTTTCCTCTGCCCAGCCCGGTGTCGACCAAACAGAGATTGAGAAACAGCTTGATGAGTCATGTAAGTCTATAGAAGCGCATCATGTAGGCCAAGGATACAACATGGTGTGGAGGCAGACACGACGGCCCGGCTGAATGGTATAAGCAGGTAGCAGGTGGATCAATTGGCCAGATCGGTTCAGGTGGATCGGCCTGATAAAATGACCCACAACAATGCATCCTATAAACTCTAGTGAGAAATGTTACCTGTCGAGAGTAACATATGCTTTTCGGAATTTCTAATGTCCTTCAAGAGATTCGTCTTTCGTAAGACGAGGGAACAAATCGTAATAGAAGAAAAAATGGAAAATACACAAAAATAGGTTCATATAAGGAATAAAACTGAATCAATAAAAAAATACAGAGCAACCCACTAAAGCCCACGACGAGAGACCCGCCATGCCAGAACCACCAACAAACCCAAGCCCGTTGGTGCGCGGCCGAGGTTCAGTTCGTTTCGTGCTCTTGGCCGGGGAGTTTTGTTTCACTGCTGAGGATCTCGCGTGCCTAAAAGGTTTCTTTTCTTCGTTTTCTTTCGTTCTTCATGACAGGACGAAATCCCCGCAGAGTTTGAAGACGTGTCACGTGATGCGGACCCACCGTGTTTTAGTATTGACACAATAGTAATAAGAAAATGATGACGACGATTTGATGTAATAATGATGGTAATTATAGCAACAATAGATGGAGGTGAAGGCAATTATGTCGGCGATTCAAATCAAATGTACCCCAAGTTATTCACTTGCGAAATCTACCCACTTTTTATCTACCTCTCTTCGCGCTCTCTTATAGCTAAGGACACATCTACGACTGAGAGGGTGCGTTCTCGAAGTAATTGGCGACAAGAATGCAAAACACACAAAAGAACTTGTCAAAATTCACAAATGACCCCCCAAAATTAACGTTTCCACACTGCTTCCAAGCACACGTTTGGCGATGGATGGTTTAAAATTTAAAGAGTCAAAATAGAACCTCGGTGAAAGGGACAAGTGAGGAATCAATATGGAACACCTGCATTGCTAACAGATTTCGATCAACAGGAAGAAGCCGCCATAGACATGACTTCACGGGAACTAACATCAGACAAAATTACGCGAGGTATTGGTCGGGCAGTCGATTGCTCCCTCTCCCTATCCCCCTGTCCTTTCCCTCCCTCTCTCTCTCTATTTCCTTCACTTCCACCCCCTTACCTCCATCCTTTACCTCCTCCTCTCTCTCTCTCTTTACCTCCTCCTCTCTCTCTCTTTACCTCCTCCTCTCTCTCTTTACCTCCTCTCTCTCTCTCTTTACCTCCTCTCTCTCTTCTCTTTACCTCCTCCTCTCTCTCTCTTTACCTCCTTCTCTCTCTCTCTTTACCTCCTTCTCTCTCTCTCTCTTTACCTCCTTCTCTCTCTCTCTTTACCTCCTCCTCTCTCTCTCTTTACCTCCTCCTCTCTCTCTCTTTACCTCCTCTCTCTCTCTCTTTACCTCCTCTCTCTCTCTCTTTACCTCCTCCTCTCTCTCTCTTTACCTCCTCCTCTCTCTCTCTTTACCTCCTCCTCTCTCTCTCTTTACCTCCTCCTCTCTCTCTCTTTACCTCCTCCTCTCTCTCTCTTTACCTCCTCCTCTCTCTCTCTTTACCTCCTCCTCTCTCTCTCTTTACCTCCTCCTCTCTCTCTCTTTACCTCCTCCTCTCTCTCTCTTTACCTCCTCCTCTCTCTCTCTTTACCTCCTCCTCTCTCTCTCTTTACCTCCTCCTCTCTCTCTCTTTACCTCCTCCTCTCTCTTTTACCTCCTTCTCTCTTTCTCTTTACCTCCTTCTCTCTTTCTCTTTACCTCCTCCTCTCTCTCTCTTTACCTCCTCCTCTCTCTCTCTTTACCTCCTCCTCTCTCTCTCTTTACCTCCTCCTCTCTCTCTCTTTACCTCCTCCTCTCTCTCTCTTTACCTCCTCCTCTCTCTCTCTTTACCTCCTCCTCTCTCTCTCTTTACCTCCTCCTCCCTCTCTCTTTACCTCCTCCTCTCTCTCTCTTTGCCTTCTCTCTATCTCTCTTTACCACCCCCTCTCTCTCTCTTTTCCCTTTTTTCTCTTTCCCTTCTTTCTTCTCCTTTCTCTCTCACCTCTCCCGATGTGTCGCTCTGTTTCTGTCCCTGTTCAAGTTCGTCTCCCATGAACAGTATAGGCCTACGTAAAGCCCATATAGCGAAAAAGGAAAACGCCAGTAAATAAGAGCAAAGACGCTTGCATTCCAGAAGCAGATTTACAAAGCCTACGCAGGTGTGTTCAAGGTGTTGCGTATGCTCTCCAACCAGTGGTCTAACCGTTATTTCGCTTATCAGTTATCAGCGATACGGGACAGATTACGTGGAGGCCGTGACGCGCTAAAGGTTGAGTGTGTGAACATTTCTGAATAGATAACGCAACGACTTTTGAGCTTGTGTAACCTACATACAGCACAAAAATGAACACGAGGGAGGGAGGGAGGTAGGGAGGGAGGGAGGGAGGGAGGGAGGGAGGGAGAGAGAGAGAGAGAGAGAGAGAGAGAGAGAGAGAGAGAGAGAGAGAGAGAGAGAGAGGAGAGAGAGGAGAGAGAGGAGAGGAGAGGGAGGGGGGAGAGGGAGAGAGAGGGGGAGGGGGGAGAGGGAGAGAGAGAGGGGGAGGGGGGAGAGGGAGAGATAGGGGGAGGGGGGAGGGGGGAGGGAGGGAGGGAGGGAGAGAGAGATGGAGAGAAACGGGTGAAGGTTACGTTTCCCAAAAGAAACGCAACGCCACAAACAAAAACAATCTGAAGGAATCCCCCTCCAGCGAAACACCTTCATCCACGTCTTCTTTATGGTCACCTCTAAGAAAAAAAAGTAAAATGCTACTCTGATGCTGACCGTTACATTGCAGCACCGACCTGCAGCCACGCGCCTTGCAACCGCAACTGCGATCATCAGACTGAAATGTGAGGGGGAATGGGGGGAGGGCATTTCAGCTTAAACAGGTGTGATGCGAAATGCATACGAGGTTGCCTGAGAACCGGTTCCGTGTATACTAACCGACACACAGGGAGCGAGATGGGAGGAGGAAGTAATGGAGCGAGGGAACGGATTTTAATGCGTGTGGCGTAGAAGCGTGTGTTGTGTGTTATGTGTATGGTATGAGGGCGAGTGAGTTTTCATTAGCGTGAATGTGTATTAACGCCCTTGATTATGCGAGAATACACCTATAACCCGTGAACCTTACGTTATCATAGACTGACAGTAGAGAGGAAGGGGAGCAAATAAACAAAAAAGGACCGAGATAGCAAAGAGAGCAGACGCCCTTCATCACAAAATACACATTTACGTCACCTGTAGACCGAGCGCGACCCGAGCAAATCCTCTGCAACCGGCACGGCGCACGCCCACTCTTTCTCCCCCTATGTCCCTCTCTTCTTATGCCTCTCTCGTTCTCATACAAACATATGTATATATACATATACATATATGTATATATCTTTATATATATGTATATATATGTGTATATATATATATATACATATATATTATCTATATGTATGTATGTATACATATGTAAACATATATACATATATATGTATGTGTATATACATATATATATATATATATATATATATATATATATATATATATATATATATATATATACATATATATATATATATATATATATATATATATATATATATATATATATATATATATATATATATATATATATATATATATATATATATATATGTATTAGTATATATATATATATATATATATATATATATATGTATTTGTGTGTGTATATATATATATATATATATATATATATATATATATATATATATATATATATATGTATGTGTGTATATATATATATATATATATATATATATATATATATATATATATATATATATATATATATATATATGTGCATGTGTGTGTGCATGTGTGTGTGCGTGTGCGTGCGCGTGCGCGCGCGCGCGCGCGTGTGTATGTGTGTGTGTGTGTGTGTGTGTGTGTGTGTGTGTGTGTGTGTGTGTGTGTGTGTGTGTGTGTGTGTGTGTGTGTAAAAAAAAGTAAAATAAAGAAAAAATAACAAACAGAGCGAGAGAGAGAGAGAGAGAGAGAGAGAGAGAGAGAGAGAGAGAGAGAGAGAGAGAGAGAGAGAGAGAGAGAGAGAGAGAGAGAGAGAGAGACAGACAGACAGACAGACAGACAGACAGAGAGAGAGAG